AAACGAGCAAGTTTGCGCTCCAGCACCGACAATTGACCGTCTCCCAGTGACGAATGTACGTACATCGTTTTGCGGCCGCAATCTCGTGCCCGTCAATTCGTTAATTAATCGGTGGACAGGCCGCGCGTCGCTCGCTGCGTGCACGCTGCCAATTACCGGCACATTGTCGCGCATAAATCATTAGCAAACGCGACGCTTCCATAATTCGGTTAATTTGCACTGTTTTTCCTGCGCCTCGCCGCCGTGCACGCCAATATTTCCCCGTTTTCCGCCATCTCGCCAGACCCTGCTTATCTCTCTCCGTTATCGATACGCGGTGTCTCCGCGAATTCCTCGCGCGAGAATAACATCTCGAGCAACGGTCTCGGGATTTGCGCGTACTCCGATTGGGCCGATTAAAATTTCTCGAAATGCGAATCGTCCAATGGCAACTATTCGCTTACGTCCGTGTGTACATAGTTGCACGATCGAGTCGGAGATTACAAAGTTGGAAGGACCGCGCACGATCGGGTATCTGGGCGCGAACCGCGAGGACGATAAAAATTGGCGATCGACGCCGATCGTGCGACGTGTTTACGCGTTATCGCGAGGCAGCGAGGTTCACGGAAGAGATTTGCACCGTATAAATACGATTCGACGTCGTAAATTTCGCGAGTCGCGTCACTCTCGCTTAGCGCGTGACTCTTTTGTTTCATCGGGCCCGATAACGCCGGTACGCGGATTACGAGGGCCGCGAGGATCGATAATCGACCGCGATAAACGGTTATTTGAAAACAAGCAGCGGTTCTCTTTTCCTTCGCCGACATCTCCCCCGTTTCGAACGGCGACCAACGGGATCCGATTCGAACGAATCGCGAGTCGTAGAAAGGGAGCGACATGCAATGGGAGGACGCTTAATAAATGGTCGGAAAAGATACGACCTTCGTGTGCGTGGAAGGTTCCCAAATGCGAGGCTCGTGACTATCGCGGCTTATCGAGATGCGTGTGAGTGAGTCATTAATAAAAGGGTCGCAATGCTGCTCGCGGTGAAAAGCGGAGAGAGCGAAAGAGAGAAAGAGAGAGAGAGAGAGAGGTAGACGAGGGCTCGTATCGATCAAATAACCATCGGCCGCCATGTGGAAAGACAGAACGGTGGCTCGAGGGATTTCCGTTTCTAACGGCGTTAATCAACCTTGCGACTCCATCGCGAATCGCGAACCGAGTGCAGGGACGAAACGATCGGACCAATTTTAAAAACCCAGCCACCTCTCCACCGAGAAGAATTCATAGATCTATCTTTCTGCCATTTCCAGCGCGAATTTCTAAGGTCGAACCCCCCCATAAGGTTAAGGCCTCGCCTCGAGATATCGATTCGTATTTACACCGGTGCTGCAGGATGTTCACGGTTGGAGCGAAGGTTTCGACGAAGCGCCTCGCTTCCAACTACGAACCAAGTACCAGCGTGTATTACTCGCCGAGATAATACATGTGCGTACATTTGTTACGTGTCCGACATCCCGTGCGTCCAGGAAGTTTCGTATCGAATTTATCAAAAACACGACGGGAAGCCTGTTATAAGATGATAGGCCAAGGAGAAAGTGAACCGGCGTACGGCTAGTTCTGACAAAAATTCGCCTACAAAGAACAATCGCTACGCTCGAAATCGTACGTTCATCGGCTGCACCAGGCTTCGAGCATACGCGATTCAACGTCGGATTACCGCGGCGATTCTGATGGAAATCCTTACACGGAGACCGTGCAATCGAACGCTACGTAATTACGACTCGCAGTAGCAGATCTTGGCTCGCTGAAACGAGTTCGCCGCGTCGATGTTCGATATCCGAAGATCGCGATACGGAATGCGAAGAATAAAATGTGGAAAAAAGAAAATAAAAAATCGTAAGGAACATTTATCCTCGGGACTCGAAAACCTTGCCATGAGGAAGTAGCAACTGGAAGCTCTTTCGTTCTAAACTCCGAGGCGAATAAAAAATTGCGTGGCAAAGTAATTTACAAAATTGTTTTACACTAAACTCAACACAGAAACCTACCCGTCTATGCGAACTGACTGGTAGATGAAGAATGAAAGAAAAATCTGCTATAGAAATTACGAATCTTTAGAATCTTGCCGACAATGGCGGCCAAAAGAGTCACCTTCCGGTTCCAAAGGATTAAAATATTGGAAAAAATTCGGAGAACGCGATTTCAATTTCGACGAGGAATCTCCGGATCGACGGGTCTCTGGCGACCATTTTTGTAATAAGGAAAATAAGAGAAATAAGGGAAACGACGAAAATAAAGATAAAAAAAGGAGGAAAAACGCAAAGCGGTCTGGCGACGGTGGACGCTGGCGAGGGAAATCTTTTCACACGCGCCACAAAGACGTTTCTGAACTGGCTGCGTTTTCGATACATTGTTAGAGAGCATCATCGGGAAAGGAACGCTGTTACGTTTAGGCCATGCGTTTTAGGACCGGCGCTGCAACAGTGTGCACGTCACGCGCGTACACGCATCGTTTGCGTTCGTGTACGTGCTGCTGCACAGCCCCGATTTATTGATCACACGCGTCGCACGCAATACACAACGCGTGTGCCTGTGCGTGTCGCAACGAACGGCCTAACTTTAACAAATTCCGTCTAGGATCCGCCGTGACATGTGCACGGAGAGTCGGCTGCATTAGCATAAGGCCGAAGAGAAACGAAATTCGACGGGGAGCGATGGCGGGGATGGAAAATCGTGGGATCATCCGGTAAATACGCTCACCGACCGTTCGCCAATTTCTTCTCTATCTTTTATCTCCGTGATACCCGAATTGAAATTAAAAATAGGCTTTATTGGTGATACCCGAATAAAATGGATGGTTTATCGACGCGCGGAGCGATGTTATCGGTTTAGTTTACTTTTAATTCCTACGCGCGAATGTATCTCGGATGATAAGGAATACGAAGAAATTCGCAAATCATTGCTTTCTTTCTGAACCGTCTGCACTGTGACGAAGCGAGTCTACTTCCTTTGCTAGTTTTTCATGCCAAATCGCGCAAAGGCGAGGCACAGTCGCGTAACTGAAACTCTAAAAGAAGCAGATATATAACGGGTAACTAAAATTAAACGCGTTTTTAGCGCACGGTATTTTTCGTAATTGAATCGCGTAACGCGAACGGTAGAGGTTAGCTTACGTCGGTAAGCGTACACGCATACGTTGGCACGGTCGCTAATGAATCATCGAGAAAACGTTGCCTCTACGAACGTCGAGCAGCGCGTGTGGGTTGGTAATTCTCGAAAAGCGTCGTTCGGAAATACGGGGAGATAAAGAGAAAAAGGAAATAAAGAAATCGTGCGAGAGCAGCGAGCGAGAAGTCACCGCGAAGCGACATAACCCGAATAACGAAATGCAAATGCGCGATTAAAACGAGGAATACGTAAAAGAAAATATGTAGATTGGAACATGTGACGGAAGAAAAAAACGATCGAAAATAGACGGTTCAACGTTCCATGGGAAAATAGAGTGTATCGAATGGGGCACAATGATGGCGGGACGGTGAAAAGTCGTTCGCAACCTTCGAGCGAGCATCGATCCAGTTTCGAATAATCAAATTCATCGATTAATCACTCGGGAGGGGAATGAAGGAGAAAAAAGCGTACCGTTAAGAGGTCGAATAACGAGACTAATCAGAGCGAGATAGAGGAAGGAGATTTGGAGAAACGAACGAGCATCGACGACAAGGATGGAGGACGCGAGCAACGCGGCCGAGGAACGGTAGGCGAGGCGGCAAACAAATTAACGGACTGGAGCCGTTGGAGCGAGACGATCGCGATATCGTTGGTCCCGGTGTGTATACCGATGAAAAAGACGAGGTGGAGCGATCAGCCACCGGATGGGAGACGAAAGGCGAGAGAAGAAACGCGATGGGTGTAGGGGCTGTTCTCGCTGCTACCGTGCGCTGTCTGAAAACCGCGAGAAACACGAGCCTCGTGACACGTACCGGTGCAATTGCGATTCACGCGACTGTTCGCAACGGTTACGGGGGCAACGGGAGGCCAGGGATCGCGTATCGCGGAAGAATTTCCATGTAACTTTAAACACCGATCGAACGGCAGTGTTCGTCGGGAAGAAGAGAGACGGAAGGAGGGACCAGATGGAGAAGAGGAAACAGAGGAAAAGGAGAGAGAGAGAGAGAGAGAGAGAGAGAGAGAGAGGGGGGGAGAGAGCGAGGAGGGAAGTAGAGGAAAGAGGATAAAAAAGGAAACGGCGACGAAGCAAGGATTTTCGCGCGTCCTACCAATCGAGTCCACGTAATTTCTATAAAAGCACGACTACGCAGCGAGCAGGGACGGCGTAGTTAACGACGTGGGCCGTGGTCGATCGTGCAATTAACTTTAACGAACGGCGGCCTTGCGATTAAACTTAATTAGTATCGCGGTAATAACTCGTTAATAATCAGAGCCCGTGCAGCGCGCCGCGGCCATAACACGATCGTATTCTTCGTGCACGTGCACACACGTGCGTCCGGGACGCGGTTTCGGGGCATGCATGTGTACGTCTTTTCTCTCTTTTTCGTTCTTATATATTTACGTGACTACGTGGACCAAGCTGTAGGGAAGAAAGACACGGCGAGAGATGCTCTAAGGATGGACGTTTCGATCGAGGCTCCCTCCTCCTCCACTAACGACGACGACGACGACGATGACGACCACGATGACGACCACGAAGACGAACACGATGACGATCACGACGTGGAGGCGTGTAGTACATTAGCGAACCAGCACAATCATCACCAACAATCAACGAATCGAACGTAAGAAAACGATCACGTGAGAAATTCATTAATTCGTTAATTCACTGGCCAGTGTCCGTGGCGGCACATTTTCCTTCGACGCCAACCGTGTCGTGGCCAGCGATATACTCGTGTAACGATCGCTGTCTCGAACGATGAAACACAAAGTCGTAACAGCACCAGGGATCCGTTTCTCGGGGACCAGCTTCTGAGCCAGCCTACGTTCCGTTTCTCGTTTTCACTTACGGACAAAGGATCATCGTCGGTTGCCAGCGAAACACATCGGACGGCCACCATTGAGGAACTCGAGGAGAGTATAAACAGACAGAGAGAAACGTTCGAAGCGTAGAACCGGCACTGACCGAATGATCGACTGACTGTGACTGAATGGCCGCGACTGGTCGACTACTGGCAGAGACGCGCGCTCCTGTTGCGAGTCTACACCGGCCAGCCACTGCGTTTCTCGTCCTCTTCCTTCCGTCTTTAACAGCGGCGGTAGCAGTAGCAGCAGCAGGCTTTCCCTCGCACTCGATCGTCCTCCTCCGTATGCGTGGTGTGTGTGTGTGTACGTGTGTGTCGTCCTCGAGGGACAAAAACGTGGCGAGCCCTTCCGGCTTTTCTCACACGACGATAAACTACCGACACGATACCCCGAGAGAGTGGAGCGTCTGTCAGCCGCGTATCTATCGGGTACGAGTAAACAACAGGGACGCGCGAGGAGAACGAGATCACGTTCCGGGTCGAAAAGGAGAACCGGGGAAGAAAAAAATAGAAAAATAGACGGCGCGAGCCGAGCACCGTGCTCCGCTCTATCACGGACTGTGTACTTAGTCAACGGAGCTCTCGCGAGCAAACGTAAAAACGTGCACTACCGTCTCTCTCTCCCGGTTGCGACGAGCGAGGCGGTTAGAAACATCGAGCACGAACCTGATTGCGGGGCGGCGCACCGAATTATGGGCCGCTATGCGCTTTCGGCGGCCTCTCGCTCCCTCTCCTCCTTCTACCTCTCTCCTGCTCTCGCCGCTGCGCTCCCTCTCGCGCTACCTCGTCTCGCGCCCCCACCACCGGCGCGACGCTTACCCCCACCCCGCCGCACCAACCTCTCCGTCGAGCGCTAGACCACTCGCCCCCACCACAATCGTCAACACGCTCCTAGAACGCTCTATAGCTTCCCCTACCAGCGTGTATTGTTGGCGCGAGCGGTAGCATTGCCCCTTGCGCCTGACTCCGAAGCTCTCTCGCGCGAGAGCAACGTTGCCACCTTACGGCGTAGCCGCGGGGATGATGGACTGGTGGCTGGCTGGCTGGCTGGCTGGCCGACTGGCTGTGGCGGTCTAGCGTCGCGCTGACTCGCGGCGAAACGCGTACGCCACTGCCATCCTCGTCTATATACACCGCACCACTCGCTCGGTATACGACTGCGTCGCGATCCTACGACCGTCGCTTCCCACGGCAAATCCCGCTACGCGACGCCCTTCGTATCGCTTCTCGCGGTTGATCGATGATCGCATAACGCGCTAGAACTGCTCGCCGAGAAGGGTTGCTCTTCGCGCGCGGTAAAAAGGTGCTACTCAAAGGGAAAACTTTCCTCGTCCGTGGCGGTAATTTCTTTCTCGCGACAAACACGAGGTATCTCGTTGAGTTTTAGCCATTGACTCTAAACGATCTTTCGATCCTTGACCGCTTCGAACGTGCTTTTCCGAACTTCTCAAACGCGGGAATTTTAATCATCGTGCGTCTGTCTGCTCGACGAACTCAAGGAAAATTGGAACGGAATCGGGGGGTGGTCGAAAGAAATCGCGTGTCCGCGACGCGTCTTTTTAGTCGGCTAGTTAAAACGATTACCGTTCAGCGAGACAATGTTCCGATTCCAGCCGCCAGTATGCAGCACTGCATAGCGCGCGCTAGTTCCATTTACTTAACGCGCCTAGCACTTTGTTTTACGATCAATAACGTTCGATCGTAACGCAGCCATAGGCCGCGAGTAAGCGCGTCTTTATCGAAAGTCAGTGGCCGCCGTTCGGGGTAAACTCGAACGATATCGTCCCGCGGGTCGGTAAGAAGAGCATCGGAACGAAATCACGGGGAAAGTCGCGAGCGGTAGGGTGGCTACCCGCGCGCGCAAAACTACGGGTCGTTTCCACTTTCGCGTGCGACTTTCTTCCGTCGCGCTTCTTCCGGCCTCCGGCAGATGTCGGGCCGTTCGACAGACCTTCGGGGGTGGTTTCATCCCTCTTTCGTGGAACGTGACGAGCTCGGGATACCACGGGCGGATAGGATCGAGCGGAACCTCGTATCGCGTCGGCATCGATTATTTATGGACGTACGGACATGTACGGAACGTATGGTCTGTTTAACTAATTACAACGTTCGGTAATTATACCAGTTTCAGTCGGTTTAACTCGTAACATTAAGCGCAAGTTAATAACGTGTAATTAAACGAAAGTGCTGCTCTTAATGACTGCTTCGCGATAAACAGCTTAACGACGTATCGTCGTTTCGAAACGGTCTACGCGTGCAACGAGAGAGACCGCCGTGATAACGAGCCAGCGTCGATCGATAAGCAGAACGATCGTACTCGTAACGTCGATCGTCCGGTTTTACGCTACCCGATAGCTCTGGATCGAAACGTAGCTGCGGAAACGGTGCAGGATCGTTAATTCGCAGCACGATGCAGAAGTAGATAAACAGCCGTTGGGAAAGGCTCTGGGTCGCACTCGCGATTCGGATGACAAACGAAGCGATAGAATCATCGATGAATTTAAATCCATTCGTTTTCTTCCTTTATCAATAAATTAGAAAAAAAAAAAAAAAAAAAAAAAAGGAAAAAAAAAAAAAAGGAAAAGAAAAATAATCTCACACTCGACCATAGAGTATTATTCGCAAACGACACCGCGAGAGTACTCGTGCACCGAACTATCGGACGCTACCGTTCCGACGAATGCGGTTAAAGCAAGGTCATCCCTTGACACCTACGCTCGGCGATCCCAGAGGATGATCGGTGAACCTCGAACAGCTTCTTCCGACCTTACCTTTCGTCCATGTATCGGTACTCGCAACTTTCACTCGTGACTGTGATCGAGTCGCGCGGCGGTCTCGAGCGCGGAGGCTCGGTTACGAAAAGACGAGGATGGTCGGACGGAAAGGCAACCACGTGTCGAGCAACCCTCGCGCTAGTGGAGAAAGGCGCGTGTGGACGCGCCGCAGCGTAGCTCGCGTGCGCTGGCGCATGCGATCGATACTCTAGACCGCCGGGGTTTTCGCGTCCTCGCGCGACGTCACGATACAAGAGCCGAGCGGGACCGACTAAGGACGAGGCCGACCGAGACCGGCCGAGGTAGCGCGAGCCGCGATAGCAGCAGCCGTCGACGCGAGCACGGCCCAACCGTCACCGTCGTTTCGACGTCGTGGACACCTTCTTGCCGCCGGATCGTCCACGCGGAAGTCCGTTCTCGTCGCGATCCAACCTCGTTCCATCTCACCCTGTATCGGCCATAGTACGCGTTTCGAGCCGATCGCTCGCGGTGCAGCGTGAGCCGCGCGCGAAAGTGATCCGTCAGTGGTGTGTTCGTCTCTCGACGAAGGAAAGGTCGCGGTACGAAGACTCCGGGTCGAGCAGAGGATCGAGTAAGTTTCGGAGGACGGTACGCTCCTCTTGTGGTTACCTTGACTCTTCGCGTTCGATTTGCCTCTCGGAGTGACACACTCGCGCGACGGCACGGATCGATCCTTTCCTCCTGTTCCTCGATTCGCGGAATCAAAGTGTCTCGCGAAGCGAAGCTACGATATCGTCGCGATTCCGTCGCGATTCCGTCGCGATAGCGTTACGATACTCGTGAACGCGTCCGACTCTAAAATCAAAGTGTCTCGCGAAGCGAAGCTACGATATCGTCGCGATTACGTCGCGATTCCGTCGCGATTCCGTCGCGATAGCGTTACGATACTCGTGAACGCGTCCGACTCTTGGTCTGACTCGTGACGGTCACATTCTACTGTCGCGTAACGCGTTTCTTTACGCGATAGCCTGTGAAAAGCGTCGAAGCGGTGATCGTGGGGAAAATTGCAGAGAGGGTTGGTCAGAGCATCTTCCGTAGAGGAATAGAGGGAACGAGGATCGAGTGGCCTGTGGCGTGTCTGACCAGAGACAAGCCGCAACCCCTTTAGGTCGCAGCGCAGCTGAGCTCGACCGGGCGCGACCCACAACCCTACATTCGCGGTCTGCGGCGTGACCTAACCTCAACTCACCCCACCTTGGGTGAGCTTCGTTGCCACCCTCTCTCCTTCGAAAGGCTGAAACGTCAGGGAGGACTTTACGCACCGGTTTATCGTTTCGTTTCACTCCAGTTCGCGCGTCCGTCCTTTTCGCACCGCAATCCTTGCCTTCCGCGTTTCTCCGCCGGTGTACAAGGTTCGCGTAGGTCGGAGACACGTCGCTTTCTGCGCTAGCCTCTCAAGGTAACGGTGCAGAGCAGCCATAACTTCCGAATGGTCGAGTCTGACCTTGGCAGAGAGAAGTTCCGCGTCTATCGCTACCATCGGTCCGCGTCTTCCGGCGGTCACGGGTTAATTAACGATCATCGATTTAACGAATCGCGACTGACCTTGCTATTGTTCCAACCATTGCCGCGGCAACTCGATCGAGTTTGCGGCAGTTTGCGGGAAACTTTGCCACGCTCGTCGACTCGGGGTCTGACCGTGACGCGAGGGAAAAACGTTTCCGATATTTTCCCATTTCGATGCGTCGTGTCGCGTAATTTTATACACGCGAAATGCCACTCGGAGCAATTCCGTCGAATCGAACGTAAATCTAACGATCGTGGGTTACGTAACGTATCGATCGCTTCGAATCCATAATTCGAACGGAACCTTGGTCGTTTCGAACACGACGATCCGTCGATGTGAGCGAGAAACGTAAACTTTGAGAGACGCTGGGACGTTGGATAGAGCACGCCACGGCGTAACAATAGGGGAACACGTGTCACCGTGTCAAAATAGCTTGCCTCGCTAAATTTAAATTGAATTATCCGTCGCGACATATGGTAACGACGTGGAAATTGAATTTACATCTTACGTAGTTGCGGTAGCGTTATATCGTATACCAAAGGCTGCGGGAACCGTAGTCTCTTTATCGAGTAGTCTCGCCTCCTCCTCTTCGCGCGTGTATACACGCGCGAGTAAAAACGTATCCGCGGGTATTTTCGTGCGACGAGCTATTTCCGCCGTTAATCTGTTCCTCGTAAACGCGAAACGTAACGCAAATCCAACGTCGTGGCTACGTATCACCCTGCGTTTCGTACAAAGTTACGAAAACGCCAAATTTCCGATTTATTACTGCCGAAATGTGTGAGCGAACCGGGAATCTGGCAAATCCGTTCTCGTCCGAAATCGATCGCGCTAACCCTGTCGCTCTGCCTCTGTTTACAGACACTCGAAGCGTTTCGCCTGGCGCGTCATCTTCAGCCGCCACTCTCTCGCTGCTTCCGCTGGTCCACCGCCGCTCCGTTGCCTCTAGCCAGCCGAGCGAGTAGTCATCGGGTGAGAGGAGAGTCGGGCCGTAAGGAAAACCCCCGGAGAAAGCATAGGAAAACTCG